TCAATTCATTTATTTCTTTCGTCAAATTTTCAGATCTCCAGGCGAGCTTTATCCGAGAACAAAAAACGTAGAAGCGATCTGGGAAAAACCAGATCTCCATCGCAGAACGCAGGTACAGTTGACATGACTTATGGACAATTTCAAGCACATTTGAAAGAGAGAGAGGAATTGCGTAGCTCCTTGTTACCCGACCAATCGCTAAGCGCTAAATCTATTTTAAAAACTCCGAAACGTACACACGTTAAGCCCTTAAGAAGGAAATTATACAACAAAAACGCATCATCTAATACAACACTCAAATTATTACAATCGACTCAAAATTCTCCTCGTAGTCTTAAGATAGATCATACTCCGAAACTTACAACAGCGCCAAATGTACTTCCTATTATTTTTTGATAGATTATTTTCTTCGTCCAGATATCCAATTTAATTTTTTGGCTACTCGTCGATGTTATTATATATTATTTCCAGCAAATTATATAGAATAATATGTATTATACTGTATATATATATATATATGTATAAAGAGAGAGTGGGAGAAAGAGACATCCAGTTTAAAGTTGAGAGAAAAATGTTACTCTTGATTATTGAGAAAAGATCTAATGTATATTAAGTAGGTGGTTAGTTTTGTATTGGAAATTTTTATATAAATATTGTAGTTTTTATGCGTCCCAGTTATTGGGCATGTATATATTTATTTTATGAAACATTTTTTTGAAACATAATGATGTCCGGCGATTTTAACTATTGTTATAATATATATGATGTAACATTTTTTATATACATAAAATAACTTTTAATATATAATTATATGTTATAACACATTTAATGTTCGTATACAAATCAAGTTTCGGCGTTGTCATATGTTTGATATTTTGTCGATAAACTGTATAACAAGTATTTAAAAATAGTAAATATTAATAGATACTAGACCAGACTTGTCGCATCTTATACAATACATGGGCCTAAGGCTATGTGCTACTTGCCTTATCTGAGTTTGATTAAAAATTTATAGATAGTCAAACAGCTCTATAGAATCATCTACTATCATATATCTCAGCAGATAAAATTTTTTAGAAAATTTCTCAGAAAAGCTTGCTATTGCAATTATTAATCAGTGCCGTGATGTTCTGATATTATTTATGATAAATAGAATATTTCTTAGGTTATATTAACTTTCCTGATGTCAATGGCTGCTGGCAGGTACTGATTTAAATATTTCATGTTTTCATGTATATATGTATAATTTACAGTAAATACCTACGGTAGCAATATTTATATCTACCCGCCGAAATCAAAATGTATTCTTTTATGAATGTTTTAAAACAAAAGACTAAATTTATGATGAACTTAAAAGTACTGATTGTTTGTTTTATAAAATAAATTCTATTGTTATCATATATTCTTGATTTAAATAAGAATTTTTGCGACTATAAGCGGACCAATTGGTTATCGTGTATATAGATTCAAATCCAGATATATGGAATGCATTAATAATGTTTTATAAAAAATATTAGTCTATTTCATTATTACATTGATAAATAATTCGTTCTTTAAAAAACATTAGAATTGTAATTTATATTTATTACGAATTTATTTATTTAAAATGATTTTTATTAATTTGGTATAATATAATCTATATCCATTGGTAACCCCATTTGCTCAAATGGGCAAATCTAATGCAATTCAATGATTGGTAGATTGAGAGTAATGAAAAGAATCATTGGCTAAAAGAGTAGTTGACAGATTTCCAATACAAACATGAAAAGAACTGTATGAAATTGAGTGTTCATAGAAACTCGATTTGATGTTACTATTCTGAAGGTAAGCAAAGGTGCGCTAGCTAGTTTGTTACAAATTCAAATGAAAAACGGTCGGTAGTAACATTTGCTTGAGTTTTTGTAAAAGAAAATTGTTTGCGTTAGTAAAGTAAAACGATGGCTGATGCTGATGAATGGTAAATAATTCATACAAATGTTTCCTTCTATTAACAATTATTCCGAAAGAATAAATTTAATGTTTTTAATTTATATACATGAATAAAACTTACTAACAATGATCAAAAGTTGTAATAATTTGTATAAAGTGTGTTTCTTCAAATCATCTATTAACTTCTTCACTAACTTTCTTTTGATAAAGTTTCAAATCATATTATATATTAACCGTATAGAATGATATCGAGAAATATTTATTAGTTTGTCAACAAAAAAGAAAGTTTAATATTTCCAATTACATTATTTGTTTGATATTTTATTAAATAAGTATGTTGTGTTCTTTAATAGGAAACCAATAGTACAAAAGACTTGTACAATGGTACGTAGTGCCATAACCCAATTGCATTTAATATGGACAGAAGTTGGATACGATAAGGAAACTCAGTTAGCTTATACTAATGCGGCGCTTGATCACATACAGGTAAAATAAACTTTTCATAAATATTATTGGAAAATAAAGATGATTTCAACTGCAAATTGATATTTTAATCATAAAACAGGAATTATTAACCGATATGGTGTCAGAGTCTGAGGATAAGAAAAGATTACTATTGGAAGAATCTAAACAATTAATGCAAAATACATCTATTCTATGTAAAGTATGTATTATTTTTATAAAATCATTGTAAAATCCTCTGGTACTGTTTACTATATATATAATATATTAAATTTATTGCAGGAATTAAAAGAAACTATTGATGCAAGTGGATATGAGAAACTACCACTATTCAAATTACAACAAGTACTTCGACATGATATGGAAAAGCTGTTGCGTATAAAAGAACAACGCAAAACATATTTAAATGAATTATTAATGAAGGTAGGTTTTCATATCAATGTTAAAGAATTTGCAACTTGATATTGCAAACATTTTCTATATACATGATTAAATATGTGTTTAATTAACATTTTTCTCTGTTCTTTTCTTAATAGGAACAAGAAATATGCAAACGGCTAGGTGTACAGCCAATAGGAATTGAATCTAAACTTCCGACCGAAGAAGAATTAAATAACTTTAAGTTATATATATATAAACAGGAAGCAGAAAAGGTAAACTACTATAAATTAATAATCTATTACTTATTGTTTCTGTTACCTAACCATTTGACAAATTTGAAGGTGTATTTACATCATTATTTCATTGTTTAT